AAAGTAAGCAATTTTCAGCCATCTTTTGGCAGCGAAAATCGTCCCTGGAGCTCAAACCGATTTTTCCCTATTTCTCGAAAACAAAAAAGTATTTTTCAAAACTAACCACACAGCGTTTCTTCCTTCATCATACACTACTAAAATCCAAAAGTAGAGCGAATTCGAAAAGTTGAGCCTTTCCGCCGTATGTTTGATTTTTACAGACAGTCGCTCTTACAACCTCTCTTTTTCAACTGGCTGTGTTCCAGATCAATTTAAAATTGCTAATGTCATGCCAATTCATAAAAAAGATTCAGTGTCTGATATCAATAATTATCGTCCTATTTCCCTTCTCTCTATTTTTAACAAAATCTTGGAAAAATTAATGTACAAGAGACTTTATTCATTTATTGAAAAATGATAATATTCTATAGGACAAACAGTTTGGTTTCCGCAATAACCATTCTACATCTTATGCTACCCTATTAATCACTGACAAAATTCAGAAAGCTATAAAAGATGGCCTCTAGTCTTGCGCGATTTTTCTTGACTTTGCTAAGGCCTTTGACACTGTAGATCACACTATCCTTATCAAGAAACTAATGCATTACGGAATAAGAGGCATCGCAATTGATTGGTTCTCTTCTTACTTAGATAATAGAGTCCAACATGTATCAATTGGTAACATAACTTCTGAAGATGCAGTTATTACTCATGGCGTCCCCCAGAGTTCAGTCTTAGGCCCTCTTCTTTTTCTTTTGTACATTAATGACTTTCATAATTGCTGCACATTCTTTGACTTTCATATTTTTGCAGATAATACCAATTTATTTTGCTCGAATAAAAGTCTTTTGAGTCTGGGATCTTTAATTAATGAAAATCTTGGCTTCATCTTTGCCTGGCTCACTGCCAAGAGGCTTTCTTTAAATATCAAAAAACCTAACTTCATTATTTTCCATTCTCCTCAAAATGCAACCCAGTTTTCACCTATCAATAATTTAGAAATCAAGCAACTTGATTGTATTAAATACCTTGGTATTTTTATTGATTCTAGTCTTAATTGGAAATCTCATGTTCAACACATATCACATAAAATTAGACGTTCTATTGGTGTCATCTCGAAAATACGTCATGTAAATACATCTATTTTAATACAACTGTGTTATACTTTAATTTATCCGTTCAGTTAACAAATGGTATTACTTCTTGGGGAAATACTTATTTAACTAATCTGAAACCTCTTATTTCTCTACAAAAAAAGATTACTAGGATCATAACTTTTTCTGAGTATAACTCTCATTCATCTCCCCTTTTCTCTAAGCTAAATATAATAAAATTTGTTGACCTAATTTTTATTCATAACGCTTTATTTATGTACGATTTTCATACTAATAGTTTAACTCGTCTTTTTAATGGTTTTTTTATTAGCATAAAAAGAGTACATCAATAGAACACCAGACTAGCAAGTAAAAACACTTACTCCTTTCATAAAATTAGAACAAACTATGGCAAATTCAATATTCGCTATGTAGGGGCGAAGGTCTGGAATTCCATTCCTGATAATTCAAAATCTAGTAGGCGTGGCTGCTTCAAAAGAACATCTGATCAATTCTTTTCTCGATGAATGTTAATCTAGTATATTGACGTATTCTCTTGTGTGCATGTGAGTGCGTATATTTTCTCATGTGTATTTTTTGTGTATGAAATTTGTATTTTCTGCTTTTTTAGTTTGCTATTTATCCTTGTTACTTTTTTCTAACTCGATTAGCTTTTTAGCTATTTAGGTAGCTGTGCTCGTGTTTTTGCAATTTTAAATTTATGTTTCATGTAATTCTTTCCTCCTTGAGTGCAAATAAACTATTGTTGTTTGTTGTTTGTTGTGTTGTTTTGAATCAAAAGAGTGATCAAGTCAGGCAATGAMAATCTAAGCATGTTTTGAAAACATTTCATTTTTGCCTCAAAAGTTCCATGAATTAGCGAAATATTTTGTTAAGTTATAGAAAAGGATTCAACCTCTGACATTATTTAAATCAATTTTCAAAACAGCGCAATTAAAGGTTAAAAAACGAGATGCGCGAAAAAGAAACCGGATCCGGAACTACCTTAAGTTTTGCATCTCATTTGATACCTTGCTTCTTATTAGACATTTGCATAAATGTATACTACAAT